CGAGCCACACACTTCCTTATGCGGCAGCACGCGCAGCGTAATTCAAAGCGGTGAGTCACACCTCCGCAACCCGCCGCCGGACAACCCCACCTCGAGACTGTCCTCCCATGCCATCCAGTAACTTCCCACCCTTCTCAACCGACCTTACACATCATTTCATTCGCCGCTGTCAAGCGTACTGCCTGAACAGCAACTCGCCCAACTGCCCTTGGTACCCCGTTCGCTATCCCCTACTGCAAAACAGGCTTGAGTTCTTCGACGAAACAAAGCCTCTACATATCCATTCTCCACACGACTAAGTATATCCCAATGCCTGTCGAAGACTGCAGGAGCTTTCCAGTTCCCGTGCAAACTTGCCAAATTCGATAGACCCAACAGCACCCGCACCTCCCAAAAAATGAAGTTGCCCAACCACCCACGCCTCCGCTCAGTTCAACGTCACCCAGCCAAGCTGCCGAATTACACACTCTCTGAACAAGCGGGATGCGCAGCAAAATTCAAATCGGGCTGTCGCACCTCGGCAACTCGCTGCCTGACCAACTCACTTCGAGAGTCTACTCGCACGCCAAGCAGTTAATTCCCACCCTTCCCAACCAGCCTTGCAGTTCATTGCACTCGCCTCTAGCAAGCGTACTGCCTGAACAGCAACTCGCCCCACTGCCTGCGGTTTCCCGTTCTCTAGCCCATACTGCAAAACGGGATTCGGTTCCTCAACGAAACAAAACCCCTCCCTCTCCATGATCCGCACGACTAAGCATATTCCAATGCCTGTCTGTTGCAGAGTGCAGGGCCTTTCCAGTTCCCGTGCAACCCTACCGCATTGAGGGGACCTAACATCAGCTTCACCCCTCAATGCCTGAGCCTGACCCGCCTGCCACCACTCCAATCAACTCAATGTCACCCAACCAAGATTCCGAACTACACACTTCCTGAACACGCGGAATGCGCAGCAAAGTTCAAGTCGTACAGTCGCACCTCCGCAACTCGCAGCCTGACCAACTCACTTCCAGACTCTACTCGCACGCCAACCAGTAAATGCCCAACCGTCTCAACCGGCCTTGCAATTCGTTTCACTCGCCTCTAGCAAACGTACTGCCTGAACAGCAACTCTCCTCATCGCCAGTCATTCCCGGTTCTCTAGCCCCTACTGCAGAACGGGCTTCGGTTCCTCAACGAAACAAAACTTCTCCCTCCCCATTCTCCACACGACTAAGCATATTCCANAACGGGCTTCGGTTCCTCAACGAAACAAAACTTCTCCCTCCCCATTCTCCACACGACTAAGCATATTCCAATGCCTGCTGGAGTGTACAGGAACTCTCCAGTTCCCGGGCAAACCTGTTACGTTGACGGGACACAACATCAGCCAGACCTCCCAATGCATGACGCTGCCCCACCTGCCACTCTTACGCGTGGTTCAACACCACCCAGCGAAGCTTCCCATCCACCCACGTGCTGAACAAGCGGCAAGCACAACGTAATTCAAATCGGACAGTCTCACCTCCGCAACTCGTAGACTGGCCAGCTCACTTCGAGATTCTACTCCCACGCCAAGCAGTAAATGCCCAACCGTCTCAACAGGCCTTGCAATTCATTTCACTCGAGTCTATCCAGCGTACAGCCTGAACAGCAACTCTCCCCATCGCCAGCCATTCCCGTTTCTCTAGCCCATACTGCAAAACGGGCTTCGGTTCCTCAACGAAGCACCTCCTCCACATATCCATTCCCCATTCAACTAAGCATATTCCAATGCCTGTTGAAAAGAGCAAGAGGCCTCCACTTCCCGCGCAAACCTGCCGCATTTTATACACCTAACATCACCCGCACCTCCCAATAAATGGAACGGCCACACCTGCCACGGTTCCATTCGGTTCAACCCCACCCTACCAAGCCTCTGAAATACACACTTCCTGAACACGCGGAATGCGCAGCAAAATTCATATCTGACACTTCCACCTCCGCAGCTCGNAATACACACTTCCTGAACACGCGGAATGCGCAGCAAAATTCATATCTGACACTTCCACCTCCGCAGCTCGTTGCCTGACAAACTTACTTCGAGACTCTACTCTCACGCCTAGGAGTCAAGGATCAGCCTTTTCAACCAGCCTTGCGCTTCATTTCATTCGAGTCTATAAAGCGTAAGGCCTGAACAGCAACTCGCCCCAGCGCTGGCCGGTCCCACCTCTCCAACCCCTACTGCAAAACGGGCTTCAGTTCCTCAACGAAACAAAGCCTCTACATATCCATTCTCCAGACGACTAAGTATTTCCCAATGCCTGCCGAAGACTGCAGGAGCTTCCAGTTCCCGAGCAAACCTGCCAAATGCAATAGACCCAACATCACCCGCACGTCCCAATAAATGAAATTGCCCCACCATCCACGCCTCCACTCAGTTCAACGTCACCCAGCCAGCCTGCAGAACTACACACTCTCTGAACAAGCGGAATGCCCAGCAAAATTCAAATCGGACTGACGCTCCTCCGCAACTCGCAGCCTGACCAACTCACTTCGACACTCTACCCTCACGTCAAGCAGTAAACTCCCACCCTTCTCAACCAGCCTTGCAGTACCTTTCACTCGCCTCTAGCAAACGCACTGTCTGAACAGCAACACGCCCCACTGCCTGCGGCTCCCGGTTCTCTAGTCCATACTGCAAAACGGGCTTCGGTTCCTCAACGAAACAAAACCCCTCCCTCTCCATGATCCGCACGACTAAGCATATTCCAATGCCTCTCTGTTGAAGAGTGCAGGGCCTTTCCAGTTCCCGTGCAACCCTGCCGCATTGAGAAGACCTAACATCAGCTTCACCCCTCAATGCATGAGCCTGCCCCACCTGCCACCATTCCGCACAATTATATGTCACCCAACCAAGATTGTGAACTACACACTCTCTGAACACGCGGAATGCACAGCAAAATTCAAATAGGAGAATCGCACATTCGCAACTCGCCGCGTTACCGACCTACTTCCAGACTCTGCTAAGACGCCAAGCAGTAAATGCCCAACCGTCTCAACTGGCCCTGTAGTTCATTTTATTCGAGTCTATCGAACGCACAGCCTGAACAGCAACTGTCCGCACCGCTCGCCGGTCCCAGCTCTACAGCCGCTACTGCAAAACGAGCTTCGGTTCCTCAACGAAACAAAGCCTCTACATATCAATTCTCCAGACGACTAAGTATTTCCCAATGCTTGCCGAAGACTGCACGATCTTTCCGGTTCCCGTGAAAACCTGCCGCATTGATTACACCCAACGTCACCCGCACCTCCCAAAAAATGAAATCGCCCCACCACCCACGCTTCCGCTCAGTTCAACGTCACGCAGCCAGCCTGCCGAACTACACACTATCTGAACAAGCGGAATGCTCAGCAAAATTCAAATCGGACTGTCGCACCTCCGCAACTCGCTGCCTGACCAACTCACTTCGACACACTACCCCCCC